GCAGGGACAAAATTGGTTTCAACGATTATAGAATAAAATATTAACCTTGGCTTATTTGCTCTAATTAAAACGGCAGTGTCCGAAATAAATCTGAGTATAAGTGGTGTGACATTATGTAGAAGAAAGCCAACAGAGATTTCTATTGAGCTGAGAATGTCCCCTCTAAAACTAATACATAATATTGATTAAATGTCCACAGAGCTCCTCATTTAGAAGGACTGAGTTCAAAGTTATTTGGCAGAATTCTTTGGTCAACCTACGATATCACCACATCATGTAAGCATACAGTTTGGACAAAAAACAAGAGTCACTTGGTGTAGACATTACACCAAAGTACAGTGGTACCTATGGTTAAGAACTTAATTCGTTCCGGAGGTCCGTTCTTAAACTGAAACGGTTCTTAACTTGAGGTACCACATTAGCTAATGGGGCCTCCCACTGCTGCTGTGCTGCCGCTGCGCAATTTGTGTTGTCATCCTGAGGTAAAGTTCTTAACCCAAGGTACTACTTCTGGGTTAGCAGAGTCTGTAACCTGAAGCGCCTGTAACCTGAAGCGCCTGTAACCCAAGTTACCACTGTATGCCTTTTCATGCTCCCACTAGAGCAGGGGTAGGCAACCTAAGGCCCGGGGGCCGGATGCGGCCCAATCGCCTTCTCAATCCGGCCTGTGGACGGTCCAGGAATCAGCGTGTTTTTACATGAGTAGAATGTGTCCTTTGATTTAAAATGCATCTCTGGGTTATTTGTGGGGCATAGGAATTCATTCATTCCCCCCAAAAAATATAGTCCGGCCCACCACATGGTCTGAGGGATGGTGGACTGGCCCACGGCTGAAAAAGGTTGCTGACCCCTGCACTAGAGCATAATAATGTATTTATTTAAAGTATTTGTATGCCAGCCTTCAAACAGATATGTTGTTGACATCACAGAGCATGACTGGCCAACTGGTGGCCTGTGATGCAGGAAAAATGTTCACATTTCCACTGTCTGTCCGTGCAATGAATGTCTGAAAAGGCATATGATGACCACTGCTAATCTGCCCTTGGGGGGGTGTGTGTGTGTGAGAGAGAGATAGCGAGAGAGAGAGAGAGCGAGAGAGAGAGATGTACCATTCCTTTTATGGATCCTCTCTTCAAATCAGTGGCCCTATACAACAGAGGTGGGAAACCCCTTTTCAGCCCGATAGTCACATACCCTCCTGAGCAATTTTCCTGGGGCCACATGCAAATAGTGGGTGGGTCCAAAGCAGGAGTAGGTGGAACAGCAGGTGACACTCTTACCTTTGCACAATAGAGCCCAAGGGGTTTCTACACTCCAGACACATCTCTCTATTTATTGTTTGCAGGCAACAGGACTGACCTTGAAGGGGAACTGAAAGCTGCAATTAGTGCGGAAAGCAGCTGTCGGAATGTTAATTGGCAAAGACGCTTGGAATCATCCAGCACTGATTCTGAAGGATCTGCCTTAGTTGCCTAAATGCTTGTGGGTCAAATTCAAGGTGCCTGGTGATGACATTAAAAGCTCTAAATTGGGATTTCCTGAACTAGGGTCTCCGGCTATTCTTGGACTACAATTCCAATCATCCCTGACTACTGGTCCTGCTGGCTAAGGAAGATGGGCGCTGTGGTCCAAAAACAGCTGGAGGCCCAAGTTTGGGAAACCCTGCTCTAAGTGAATTGTGACCTAAACATTTGAGGGACTTTTCTGTACCAGACAGCCCATGCCCTGCTTATAGAATACACTTGTTTTGGCACTAGATTAAAACCCATTTACAGTGGTACCTCGGGTTAAGTACTTAATTCGTTCTGGAGGTCCGTTCTTAACCTGAAATTGTTCTTAACCTGAAGCACCACTTTAGCTAATGGGGCCTCCTGCTGCTGCTGCCGTGCCGCCGGAGCACGATTTCTGTTCTTATCCTGAAGCAAAGTTCTTAACCCGAGGTACTATTTCTGGGTTAGCGGAGTCTATAACCTGAAGGGTGTGTAACCTGAAGCTTATGTAACCTGAGGTACCACTGTATTTGCAAGGCATTTGCAGGATATTAATATTATGGATAGAAGGATGATGTTTGCTCTGTAGTTTTAAGGATTCTGTTGGTGCCTATCATGTTCTTGTGCTCTTCTTGTGAAATGGATTTTGTTTCTCAGTGGTATTGTTTCATATTATATATTGTATGGTATTGCTCTCCATATGTCACAAACAGCTATTTTTTCTTGGCCAACCCTCTGGGAGCTGCATGCCAGTAGTGAGCATGGTCATCTCGTATCTCACTGCTCTCAGGGTGTTGGGTGCGTGGTGTGGACCTTCCTCTTTTTCAAGGTCACCTCTTGATTAAATGATGAACAGACAAGTGTATACAGGCCTTGGTAGCCAAAGAAACAACAGATTGCTTGAGACGAATTACAACTGTTCAACAAGAACAGCAGCAGCAGCAGCAGCAGCAACAACAATCTTAGCTCTAAAGCTCTAACCAGGACAGTGAATGCCCCTGAAATCATGTGTTTGAGTTATAAGATATTCGTGTAGCCTGAATTATCTGGATTTTTCAGAGTCCAAAAATTAAGTTAGGGTTCAGCAGTAAGAGGAATACTGACATAACCTGCCTGCTAGATAACATTAGGAGAAAATGCTGCTTTGAGATCTGTCAAATCATTACTCAACATTTTATTAATATGTTTAATTGTCTCTCTCCTGCCGCAGCAGAAATAGGATGGCTAGTTTTGGAATGACATCCCCTCCCTGCCAGGATCCAGAGAAATCTCTCTCTATCTTACATTCACTTATAAGATGAATGATGATTCCATGAATGGTCTTGCAAGCCAGCTGCAGCAGAGGATGACTCAGAAGTATCAAGTCACAAATCCACACACGCAAACAGATGTAAGCAGAATTGCTCCCAGTATATGCTCTTCAAGGGGAAAGTGCAGAGCTTCTACACAGCTGCATGCAACACCATGCAGCAAGATAATTTTTCACCATATATAAGATGCCCATTAGAGATGCTCATTTTCTTACACCTGGCGTTACACCTGCGTCGATCCCTCTCTAACTCTAAAGAAAAATCTTATTAGTACATGAAAGAAATATTATAGGGGTTGCTGAATGGCATAATAAGGACAAACATATTTCATACTATCCTTTCTATTTTACACTTAAGAATCTTGAATTATTTGTGTACTGCGTATGGAGGAGCATCCCAAACCCAGTGAATAATAAGCTCAGACTCTGCAATTGGACTATTAGTAGGCATAATTACATACTGTATGCCATGTTTTGCAAAATTTTACATCCACTGTATGATTTTGTGTATGGGTGGACAGGTTTTCAGAATTTAGAAATTGGTGCTGCAAATATTTTTGAAATGGGCTGGGGAAACAACAGTGTAAGCCACCTTTTGCCCTTTCGCTTGGTGGGCCAGTCCAGTCCAGAACGACCTTCATCAGCCAGGCACCATCTAACTTCCTTATACATACTGCTGAGGCAGGGCTCTTTCCTTCTGAAGTGGTTTCAGCCCTTCAGCAGTGACCACCACCTCAGCAGTGAACGAGTTCCTGGAAATGCCCAGGGGCTGGATAAAAATAATAGATTTACGTACAACTCAATATAGAAAGAAATAACAACAACTCAAAGGGGTAGCCCAAGGCTCTGAGAGGCATTAGGTTATCAGGCTTTGGATCCCAACCAGAAGCTGACTTTGCAATGTGGTGGGTAAGGCAGGAGAGGAGATTAATGGTAATGTATCAAAACTGCATACCTGCTACTCATCTCCTCTGTATTTCTCCTAAACCTGTTAGTACCTGGTTCTGCCATGGTGTGAGAGTGACTGCTCACTGTACAGCAAAGCGTGTTCTCCTTCATGGAGAGCACGTGTTGCGGTGGGGGCCGCCAGGACACTCCAAAGTTGGGGGCAGACTAATTGTTCGTTCGCCACTGATGCAATTGGGGATTCCCTTGTTGTTGGGAAGAAGTTAATGTTGCCATTTGTTGATTGACAGTCAGAAATGCTAAAACTCCTTGCACGAGGCTAGGGCTTCCTCTTTTCGACTGTGCATCGGATTGCCCGTCCCCCCCTCCCTAGAATTAGGGTTGTTTGCTTTGACCTTGCTATGCCTGTCATGGGGTCGTCTGCTCTTGGGGCAGGGGCCTGGTAGGAATTTTGTCCATCTGGCTGATTGGCTGGGGCCATTTGGTTTTTGCCTACTGCGTAGCAAATCGTCACAACTTGTAAGGTTGCGGTTAGGCATTGGTTTATGGTTTGGTTGGTTGAGGGGAAGTGGTTGAGTGCCTGCCCCTCTAATGCTGCTGCTGCAAGGGATTTCGTTAAAGGAATTGGGGGCTAACTATTGCTTGTCCACTCTGTCAAGGGGGCTCGGGCCATAGCAATGAGCTCCTGGTTGCATTTGGGGTGAGGGCAGGTTCCCTGCTCCGCGTTACCCCCAAGTGTATCCCCCTATTCTGACTTTCGCATCGTGCGGAATGTCAGTCTGTCCCCCATGGTGGGGGAAGATAGTCGCAACCAATGCCTAAGCAACCACTCACAAATTTGTATTTCAATAAAGTTGTGGCCAAAATTATGCCAAAAATCTTAAACAAAAAATTCTGTGTGATGTGTGAGTTATTGGGGTGGCCCTGGGGACCTCGACACGCAAAGTGATAGAATGTGAATCTGTCTGTCCGTCTGTCTATCTATCACCTATCATCTATCTATCATCTATCAAACATGTCATTTTCTAGTGGGTAGATGAACAAGTAAACAAAATACAACATAATCAATAATAACCTAACCAGCTCTCTCATCTAATACAGTACAGTCATAACTTGGATCCCGAATGCCCTGGAACTCAGATGTTTTGGGTCCGGAACACCGCAAACGGGGAAGTGATTGTTCTGGTTTGTGAACATTCTTTTGGAACCAGAACGTCTAACAGGGCTTCTGCAGCTTCTGATTGGCTGCAGGAGCTTCCTGCAGCCAATCAGAAGCTGCGATTTGGTTTTCGACCATTTTGGAAATCGAACAGACTTCTGGAAGGGGTTCCGTTCGACTTCCATGGTATGACTGTATTTACTTCATATGGATCCCTCACTGTTGGTGCAGATGGTGAGACGCAATAATTTCAATGAGGTGAGAGAAATGAAAGGAACAGACATGGGTATTAATTTTGTCTCTGACACTCTAGTTATAAAGCAACAATTAAGAGTTCAGAAAGCTGCTAATCTCTCTTTCTATTATCTGTTTTATGTGTCCAGAGCCAACAAGGAAGGAACAAAACAGCATGTTTTACCAGATGGGCACTATCCTCAAGAAAGGAGGAATCATTTCTGTACTAAAAGGAAAGATTAATACAAATAATAACAAGAATAGAAGACTAACTGTAAACAATGAAGAACAGAACCAAGGCTACTTCAATATCAAATTGGTGCCGCTATTGCTCAAATGAATGTCTCTCTCTGGGAATTTTCATAGCAAATATTATCTTTAGTCTTCTCTGGATGTGCAAATATTTGATTTCTAGCAACAATATTTGGCATCCAAAGTTTCTGTAATACAATCAACATTTGACAGTGCTAATCTGCAGTATACAGTGGTACCTTGGTTTAAGAAAAGTCCGGTTTAAGAACGATTCGGTTTACAAACTCCGCAAAACCGGAAATAGTGTCCTGGTTTGAGAACTTTACCTCGGTCTAAGAACGGAATCCGAATGGTGGAAGGACGCCGGTGGTGGGAGACCTCATTAGGGAAAACACACCTTGGTTTAAGAACGGTCTTCTGGAACAGATTAAGTTTGTAAAACAAGGTACCACTGTAATTCAATGCATTTATATTGTATGACAAATCTGAATAGGCACCCTTTGACTTTTCACCTCAAATTCTGAATGTTAAATTATGAAGTTGGATCTTGACATCAAAGTGTGAATTACAAAATTTAAAACTTCATCAAATTCTCAACATTTTATTTCATATGTTTATTTGGACAATGGAAGGTCTCTGCATATTATATTAATACACTTGATATTGGCACTTGCATAGAACATATATTTAATAGGAAAACAAGTTCAGACGGTTTAATTTTTGATCCCGCTTTTTTAAAGAGTTTAACTTCTGCTTTTAATGTTTGTTTTATGTAACTGGTTCTTTTCATTGTAAGTGGTTGATTTTCTCATTGCAGGGCATTTTTTAGAGAAGGGTGGTACACAATTCTGAAAAGCCTTTGGATGGAAAAATAGCCTATACATTTTGAAATAAATAAATGTTGATGAAGCTGATGGACTTGCTGTTTCTCACTAAATGTGAACCAATGATGCCATAGTTGAAGGGATAAAAGCCTGAATAGATTTATATAGACAGTTCTTTAGAAAGCTTTGGAAATATATCTAAGGTACCAAATAGAATTTGTTTTTCCCCTGCAAACCATAGGTTTGGGGGGCTTAGGTTTGTTAAACAACCTGTAATTTTAAGTTAAGATGTGCATTTGAGTGTTGGCCATAGTGACCCTGGACTCACACCATGTAGAAACTCCAGTTTAATGCAAAATGGAACAGAAACATTAGAAGTATCATTTTAAACAAATTGCTGTTTTGCTTGCAATAATATTAACAGGCTGGTTATACACCTTGATGTAATATCTTGCTGTGAGCCAAATGGTCTTCAGAATCTGAAGAGCAAAATATAGCTGTTTTGTTCATGTTACAATCAACACATTTTCATTATTTAGATAGATCAGAATGTATTTATGATGCCGGCAGCCAGAAAGTGTTGCCAATATAAATTTCAGGAGTTTGCAAAATCCTGCTGGGTTTTGCAAGATACCAGGTTGTTTTTGCAGATTTTCGAAAGAGCTGTGAAGGCTCTGCAGAGCCCCTGCCGTGATCATGGTTTCATCCAACAGAAGTGCTGGACACATAATACAAACATGCCACAGCTGTGATGCAAAATCTGGGTATGTCACTGAGACTTGCAATAAAAAGTTGTTCAATGCTCTTAATGAAATATAAACAATTGTTGGAGCTTTATACGTATACAAGAAAGATACCTATGAATTTTCACAGATAAAGGAGTGTCTATTATAACCTACCCACAGACACAGAATGATCATATTTACTTAAGCCTCTGCTATTGCTGTCTATCCAAGAGGTCTGTGCACATCCAAACTTGCTTGAAGAACTTCCCTTACAGCAGCAAGGAATAGTGACAAGTTACTTTAAATGGTTATTCATGTCATAATTGTGCAAAGCTACTTGAATAGTCAAATCAAGCTTGGGTTTCTTGCTCAGCCAGCTGGCCATTACGACACACAATAATTAGCTGGCAAACAGTAAAATACAGTAAAATACAACTAAACATTCTCAAATATAATTTGCAGCTCCAAGTATAATTAAAAGAGAATAATAAAATGACCCCACAATTGCAGACAAACAAAACCAGCAATCATGCATCTATCAAATCCATCCATATAAGGTTGGATCTAGACTAAATTGTAATCTGTATAATTACTAAAATGAGGTAAGGTACATTTCTTATAAATTTCTGCTGCCACCAAGTTTCTAGACTTGTTGCAGAAGGAAATCTGTTGCTTTGTAGGAAGACCAAAAGGTAATTGATAGGTTTGTTGGTTAAATTAGGTTAGCTAACTTGCATGCCCTCCATATGTTGCTGGACTACAACTCCCATCATCCCTGACCATTGGTCGTGCTGGCAGAGGCTGATGGGAGTTGGAATCCAACATCCTTTACAGTGCTGCAAATTAGTCACACATTGCATATATCCATATTCAAAGAACCAACCAATAGAGGCTACCAAAATATTTTTTTTTTAAAAAAAGTAACGTGCTCTTTGATTTGGTTAATCCCAATTGTTATAAATTTTTTGATGGCACCTTCCTCCATGGACCATGGTGTCCATAGTTTGTAGTTATAGCCTTGGAATTTACATAAATGTATAACATGTCTCTTGGCAAGTTAAGATGGTAGGTGACTAGGCTGTGTAATGTGTTCAGGTACCCTGTAAGCAAAGTTTTTTTTAATAATAATAATTATTATTATTATTTAGGAATAAGGCAGGAGATCTGGAGCCTGACACAGCATTGCTGGAGCATGGGCCCTACTGCCTAACAATACCCCAGGCTACAGTGAAGAAGAAGCATTTCTTAATTTGAAGATAGGCAAAAATAATCGGACTGTCCATTATGGCTTAGAAGGCTCATAGCTCAGTAGCAGAACATCTGCCTTGTATGCAGTTCAATCCCTGGTGCCTCCAGATAGCGCTGAGAGAGAACCCTGCCTTAAACCCTGGTGAGACATTGCCAGTCGGAGAAGACAATACTGAGCTAGACGGATCAATGGTTTGACCTGGTTTAAGGCAGCTTCCTGTGTTCCTAACAAACATAAGATACTACAATGGTAGGCTGTAATCACCCTCCATCTCTCTACTGTTCCTCCATGATGAAGATACCATAGTAGCTTCTCTTACCAAGGTTGACCCTCAAACAGCTGCCTGCCCACTAAACACACACAAATAATTATTTTTGTTGAAACTGAATGTTGTTTTGCTCTGCAATACGGATGCTCCCTCAGTGTCTAAGACTGCAGTTGGGTTATACATGTACATGTGTATCACCCTAGTCACCTGGACTCTGCTTCCAGGAGCAACAAGGTTTTTTGTTAGGCCACAAATAATAGCAGCTGCCTATCCCAACTTTCATGACTCCCATCAGTAACCTAGGCAGTGACATGAGACACCCTGTCACATTCATACTAAGTGGTCAAGTGACCTAGATAAGGAGGGGGAGGGACTGGGGGGTATTTAAGAAATCCACTCATTGAGGGACAATGGTGTGAAATCTACAAGAGAGCCAGTGTGGTGTAGTGGTTAAGAGCGGTAGTCTCGTAATCTGGGGAACCGGGTTTGCGTCTCCGCTCCTCCACATGCAGCTGCTGGGTGACCTTGGGCTAGTCACACTTCTTTGAAGTCTCTCAGCCCCACTCACCTCACAGAGTGTTTGTTGTGGGGGAGGAAGGGAAAGGAGAATGTAAGCCGCTTTGAGACTCCTTAAAGGGAGTGAAAGGCGGAATATCAAATCCAAACTCTTCTCTTCTTCTTCTTCTACAACTCTATGAAGGGACTCAGTTCTCCTCTAAATATTGTTGGGAAAAATTATCAGCTTGGGAGCTGTCCACAGTTCTGCAGATCTTGAATCAGGCTGGCTCCCAACCTGGACTCTTCCTATCCTTACTGAAATCCCAACAGCCCTTAAAGCACAAGTCTATGGTTTCAGTGACCACAGTAAGCTGCCTTAGTGTGCAAAATTGCACACTTTACTGTGTGGGCTTCAACTGGACAGGACAGGAAACTGACATAGTTTGTTGGAAAGCTCCATATTATTGGAAAGGTTTGCAGCCTTGATCCCAAAACAGGAAACAATGTATGTTATAGAATCAGAGGCTCTTTCCCATGGGTGTTAAGGATACCATGGATTGATTCATCTTGGAAGTCAGTCAAGAGGCCTACTTTGGAAGCCCAAGCAGGAAATTTCTGGTGTGTAAATTGGCATGTTGTTGTTTAGTCGTTTAGTTGTGTCCGCCTCTTTGTGACCCCATGGACCAGAGCACGCCAAGCACTCCTGTCTTCCACTGCCTCCCGCAGTTTGGTCAGACTCATGTTTGTAGCTTCGAGAACACTGTCTAACCATCTCGTCCTCTGTCGTCCCCTTCTCCTTGTGCCCTCCATCTTTCCCAACATCTTTCCAGTCCATGGGACTCTCAAGAGTCTCCTCCAGCACCATAATTCAAAAGCAAGGTTAAATTTGTAAAAGGCATAGCTGCCGTCCCAATTGGTTGCAAAAACTGGTGATGCTTCCAGTCCTTGTACTATGGAACTATATCATGGCTTTACAGCTGTTATCTCCTATTCCACGCTGCGTGCCTTTCTGAACCAGGCACCCAAGCATTTAAATATCAGCAGCATTTCAGGAAGAAGAAAGATGACACTTTATTGTAAGCCAACATGCTGTACTTCATCAGCATTGTTTTGCATTATAGATTTCTTGGTAGTCTGAAAGTTTAAACTGTTTTCAGCCTCTTCTTTTTTAATAGAGCACTGAATACTAATAGGTTATTGACTGTGCGGATTTAGTAGGGAAAGAAAATGCTTAGCAACAGGGACTACTAGGACAACAAGTTCATCTTCATATAAAGAAAAAGATGAAATATTCAGCCTCAGTATAACACAGAGTGGGTAGCAATCAATAGCTTATAGCAACTGCAGTGCAAATTATAGCGATTGTCTGGTGTGTGTAAAAATAGCATTGGCCATCACTTTTTGCCTTACATCCCAAACTCCAGCACATTTACTTAGAGGTATCCCACTGGTTTCTCTTTTTTAATTACTCTTTATTAGTTTTATATATAACATTCAAGCAACACAACACACAAACACAACACAAATCAAAAAACCCATAACATCGAATACTAAGAAATTGTTACCTAAAAATAAAATAACTTTCTTCTTTATGTTTTGACTTCCGTCAACCTCAACGTGGGTCCTTTGTTTCCTTGGTACCTGCCTCTTATATAATATTTAAGGTAAAGGACCCCTGGCAGTTAAGTCCAGTTGCGAATGACTCTGGGGTTGTGGCACTCATCTCGCTTTACTGGCGGAGGGAGCCGACGTTTGTCCACAGGCAGTTTTTCCGGGTCATGTGGCCAACATGACTCTGGCAAACGAGAGCAGCGCACGGAAACACCGTTTACCTTCCCTCCGGAGCGGTACCTATTTATCTACTCTGATGTGCTTTCAAACTGCTAGGTTGGCAGAAGCAGGGACCGAGCAACGGGAGCTCACCCCGTAGTGGGGATTTGAACCGCC